TGATTTTGAATTGAATGAACACTATAAAATTTAATATAATTTCCAAACATGAAAAGGAAAATATATATAGTACCGGTAGAAAGCATTCGTACATTTTCATTTTACTATTTTATCTTGCCTTATAGAGATTGATTTGAAACTGCAATAGGCAAAAAGGGAAAAAAAAAAGGTGGGAAAAAGGCAAAACTACGAGAAACAAACAAAAAAAAAAACAAAGAGGCCAGTTTGGGGACTTGATGAGGAAAAAAAATGTTTTAGAAGAACAAGGCTCGAGGGCGATCTGACCCAGTCGCAGAAGGGAAGCTAGAGAAGGAAACACCCATAACCGGGACAGCGAAGGTCGACTCCATAAACATTCTTTGCTGCAAAGCCTCTACACTTGCTCCCGCTTCAACGATATCCTTGATCAAATTCCTATAATATTTCCCAAGGTTCCTCAGCATGCACGTATATTGCAACTTCAGCCACCTAAGTCTCATCTTCTTCAGAATCCTCACTATGAAAAGCCCTCGCCGTGGTTTCTTCCCACCAAGTCGAACCGTCGGCATCTTATTGCGCCTGCGTAGGAAGATTCTCCGTCGTGCCTGGCATTGGAATGTGGTGGCTAAACTGGTACGGGTGGGAATTTTGTGGGTGGCTTGCTGGTCTACAGCCATCTTGGTGTGAGGAGGCTAGGGAGAGAGATGAGAGAAAATTGAGGGAAGTTTATTATATGAGACTTGAGAGAGAGAGTTTGACTATATGCACACAAAACCATCTTCGAGCACGGGCTCCCTTCAGCATTTTGAATAAAAAATTAAGTCTAGCATGAATTTTTTTTTTTTGCGTTACAGGTTAAAGAGCATGCATGATATATATAGTAAAATTATTGGTTTTGTTTAATTTTAATGGATTTTAACTTTTTTTACTGGTAGAGTTTAAGATTAAAGCTCAACAGATGGGAGAAACTGTTTTTTACCCTGCTTTTGTACTGCCATAAGAAATTCAACCTTAGATCCCATTTTTTCACTTTCAGTAAACATTGAGTGGACCTTTGTTAATTCCAAAAGTGTTGAAATATTGTGCATTTGCATCTCATTCTTTGTACTTTTCTGTTCTATATATTTCCCTTGAGATGCAAGCAAATGATCGATGTGATCCAACGCCAACAAATCCGAATAAGACAATTGCCTAGGAATATAGCAATAATATTTGTATGCAATTTTTCTAATCTTATATTACATCAGGCATTACGCAGACCAAAATAAAAAAACGTATTGTCGAATCACCGATGCTTATGGTTAATCTCTCTATATATAATAATTCCAAATTAATTCTAATATGGAATACTGAGTCTGACCGGCTTTGCTTGTCTTTTGTCTTGTAAATCGCACTGGCATTGACCACACACAGCCCATAACCTTCTTCCATTGCACGGTCCCTCTCTCTCATCGACTTCCACCTAATAACCGTGGAGATAATAAAAAATTTTAATGTTCATTCTGGTCGATAACGTCTGGTTGCTTGGTCCAGATTTTTACTAAACTTGGTGGAAATAATAGTTTTGTATTTTGGGAGCTTCGTGGGCTGGTGAGGTGACTCTCTAGTCTAGCTAGCTTAGGCTAGACTGACTGCTTCAGGTATCCCAGTTAATTATTCACACTGTAATCAATGTCTCTTTGATTTATCTTCTTCCAAGACATATGAATTTTACTCGAAACAAGCACCGAGGAGTGCAGAATTGATAATTAAACGGGCCAGCTAGGTGGACCAGGCCATCAAATAAGTTTGCTTGAAATTGCTCATTAAGATCAACGTTAATATTTATCAACAAGGAAAAAACCATTAGTACTACTAGTATTCATCCCCACAATTTTGTGTAATTAATTTTTTATTCCATGGTTTTCAATCACATATTTTAACTAAAGCAAGATTGAATCACGTATATTCCTTTTATTGAAAATATCAATGGTATAGGTTCTCATAAAAAAGGGAAATATTCTTCATATTTACAAAATTATTAAAAAAAAAAAGACTTACGCACCCAAAGAGTTGATTCAGTTATAAGTGTATTTATCTCTTATTTTTAAATCAAAATTTGAATATCTCTTCTCTCCAATCAAAAGATAAATAAAGAAGACATGAAATTACTTGTAAAAACAAACTATTTTGTATTTTCAGATAATGTGCGTCCTTCAGCAAGGTCCATTCAGCCTAAACTTTAGAGAATTGAGACTAGGTCTGCTCATGAACCTAACTTTTAATTACTATTAAAAAGTAATAAAATTAGTATTTTTAAAATAAAAAATAAGTTAAAAATGTATTATTTATTGGTCAAAATACCTCAACAATTCTTTGTATTCGTGTATTTTTTCAATTTAATATTTTACTCAAAATTACAATAATTTAATCCTTTCAATATTTTCCTTTCAAAATTATTCTTTATTGAATTGACATCAATATTAACACGACATCACTTGTTGACATGATATATGAAATGAGTTAAAAATATTGACATAATAATACCATATCACTTTGATGTGTTAATGTGACAGTGTCACATGATATCGATATGCTGATGTAGATATGGCATGTAATATATCAAGAAAGGCACTATGTGTTACACTTTCTTTCAACACCCACTCATGTCCTTTCTTTATTTTCTTTGAAAATATTATGTACTTGTTGAGGTTCTATTCCATCAACTTTAAATCATTTAATTTATTATATATTGCTTTTGTTTGTTTTTTTCTTTTCTTTTCTGCTTTTTCTTTTTTTTTCTTTCTCTCTCCTTTCACCTTCTCCTTTTTAAGTATCAATTGCCGGTCAGCGATTGTCACCACCGGCTACAAGTCATTGACCAAAATTCACCGATTACAGTCATTGGATGCAAGTTATCGATCACCAGTCCTTAAAGAAAAAGGTCCGAAGAGAGAGAAAAAAATGAAAAAAGAGGGAAAGAAAGAAAAAATAAGAAAGAATATGAGGAAAGAAAAGAAAATAAAAGATAAATAAAAGTAATATATAATTAAAAGTAAAAGTTTAAAATTAGTGATTTTGATGTCATGTTAATATTATATGAATATTGATGTTAATTTTGTAAAAAGTAATTTAAAAAGAAAAATATTAAAAAAATTAAATTAAAATAATTTTTAAAATTAAAAAATTTAATTGTTATAATTTTTTATAAAATAATTAAATTAAAAAATGGACAAATACAAAAACTGTTGAGGTATTTTGACCTTTATTTCTTTGAAAAAAAGTACATAACTTCATGCAAGCTTATAGAGCCGGACAAAAGCCCAATCCATGACAAGTCTGGACCGTCTGGTGAGACGTGGCCGAATCCTAGCTGGATAAGGACATTAATGATTTATGGAATACACAAATACAAGGCGTCTTATGTTTTTCTCCCACGCAAGTTTGTGGTTTCCGCAGCAGACGTATCTCGTCGCAAGTTTCTGGAATCAAAAACTCTCAGTTCACTGTCTACCGACGTGACTATAGCGCCAGCTGGTAATTGAAGGCTACAACGTGGCTTGACCACCCTCTTCATCTTCGGGTGCTGCTACCACCTAGAAACCCAAACGTTTCCAGATCAAGAAGTGGAGCGCCGTTGCTCTCTGGGCCTGGGGTCCGTAACATCTAAATTCCTGGATTCTGCTTTTCTTTAATGGGTTAAATTAGAGTGCCTTAATCTCAATTTTCTACTTTGGGAAACGGAAAAAGGCAACGACGCCTGAGAGATTCGAACTCTCGCGGGGGAACCCCATGTACTTAGCAGGCACACGCCTTAACCACTCGGCCAAAGCGTCGTTGTTGACGGGTATTCAACTACCCATTAAATAAAAAGAATTTTTCTTTAATTCTCTTCCACACACAATTCTGACGCGAAAAAGAACAAAGTTTTGGGTCATTGTGGTTGAGTCATGTCACGTCGTGCTCGTACCATCAAAAATGAGGCAAACCTTTCTGTCCACTTTCAATCGTGGACGAATAACAATGAGGCTTCTGGTTGCCCATCTAAAATGAAAAAACGAAAAGGATTTCAGAAAGGTGAAACCTTCCTTTTGCTCAATAATTCAACTGCCCATGCTATGCTCCCGATTTGTTCCATGGGAGTGCTTCCTTAGATTTCTAACACGTAACAAGGTTCAAACTCGTTTCATCAACATTCCTTCTCCCCATTTGGAGATTAGATTTAAAGTTCATATTGTTCTCTCACATACGTTGGGCAGAAAGATCCCAATGTCACCTAGCAAGCTAGAGAACAGGAGCAGCTTTCAGATAATGGTAATGGTACAATATGATTCCAGTGTTTTACCCCCTGAGCAAGGAGCATGTACTATGTAAACAGCATTTTCAAATGAGGCCTTTCACTTGTACATTTACAGTAAATAAGAGCAATGAAATTAGGGAAACAAGACAATTTTCCAGGTATAATTTACTTGATTCAGATTCACTGTTGTTAATGAAGTGTTCTAATACCTCAATAATTACTAAATAATTAAAGGAACACTCATCATTAACATTACCTTCCAGTAATTTCCTGGAATCCGCCATTGATCAACTCTAATCAATGGTGCAACAGGAAAATCAAGCAGAATGAAAAGTTATGCAAAGATGCTCTAATTTGTGTAGGCAGATGATAAAAGTACAGCCCCAACGTTTAGCTATGCTAGACGAGGGATGTCCCCAAATTATTTACAGCATCTCAATTCGCAAATCAAATGGAATCCTTGAGTCCCTGAAGCCACCTAACAGCAATTGGACTCCTCACAAGATGAACTCCATCACTCCACTCAATCGACCCAAATGCTTGTGAAGCAACAGCAGGCAAGGCCAAGCCATCACTTGCAAAGGTAATCTCGTAGCTTAGCGTATGGTTTTCTGCACTGAATTCAAGCTTACTTGGGGAAACACTGATTTCAACACCAGGCGGAGCATTCACTTTAGCTTCATAAACTGCATCAACTGAAGGCCCAACATTTTTCACTGTCCTCTTATATTCAACAGCATGATCATTAGAATCAAAAACAACAGAGAATGATGGATAATTAAGATTGCCTGGTGTAGCCAATTTCCCTTCACATACATCTGGACCAGTAGGCTCCCTGACAAAAACTGCAATTTGCTTTGAGTCATAGCCAATTGAGCAAAGGAATGCAACATAGTCACTATCATCAATATCATATACCAATCCAGGCATAAGAGCTATGTTGGGATCCACATGACCAGCACCATAAACAAATGGTGATGATTCTACACCAGTAGCAAGATCCTTAATGGTATTTCCCGAGTTATCTAAACTGTAAGCAGTTGTCATCAAGGCAGATTTTATGGCAGCAGGTGACCAATTGGGATATGCCTTTATGAGCAGAGCAGCCAATCCGCTAACATGAGGACACGACATTGAAGTACCTGAAATGATATTGAAATTAACTCTTCTAGTATCAATGTTCAACTGAGATGGACCAGTGAATCCAGTCCATCCAGCCAAGATATTAACACCAGGAGCAATGACATCGGGTTTGAGAATTTCCGGGGTCAAATGGTTTGGACCACGGCTTGAAAAAGCAGCAACCTTTGGAGCTGCTGGTGAAGGCCCGATCACTGTTCCACGGAACACAATTGTAGCCGTAGGAAACTGACTTCTTTTGATATATTGCCAGATCTCATTACCTGCTTTCTCACCCACCGTAGTAGCTGGTATAAGATGAGCATCAGCAATGAGTTCTTCACCACTCTCAGCAGTGTTTGCCAGTATCATTCCTAACCCACCAGCAAGCTTCACTGCACTTCCTTTTTCAACTCTAGCATTGCCTCCCCTATCA